TTTGTTATCTTGTCTGGGGAAAGTACAACATTTCAAGCGTGGATTGCCTCTTGCTATGCATTAAGCAAGTGACAGAAATTATTAAAAAATAAAGTACTTCCCACGTCTAGTGGCTGTGGAGTCGTCAGCTGCTGTTGGCAGAATGAAACGACTGTGAAGCTGGATCCAAATGATGGACTTCGGTGCTAGAAATGAGACGCTTGGAGACAGCTGCCACAAGCCCCCATCTGGCCTCTGCTCTGCCAGGGGGCATTTGCCACTGCAGGAGGATCAAGGAGGACAGTGCCTGTGCCTCAGGGAGATGCTGAAGCGAAGAACCGAGGTGGGGTTTGTACAGTTCCTGTCCCAGCACTCACACCTCAAGGACTCAGGGAAATTTCACCTTCTACTGGGGACTCTGAGAGTAAGGGCACGCAGTCTGCTGCAGAATGAAGTAATTTTCACTTTTAAAATACAATTTGATGGGGGAAAAGTGGTAGAGACTGTGTAGAAATGTGACTGCAGGTGACAGCTTAGCTCTTTAGCTAAGGATTTAAGTTGCCTTGGAACTAAAAGCTAAGCAGAGGATACTCCTATGAGTGATGAACTCATGAGGCAGTTTTCATGTTTGCTTTTGGCAAGTCACATAGACACAACTGTGCTTTTTTGTCTGCTAATGTGCAGGAACCTGAGGAATCTGATCCACCAGCAGTGATAAAACGTGCAAGGACAGCATCACTGCCTGGCCGTATGCTGGGAGAAGTCACAGACTAATGGAGTACATTCAAACTATTCTTATCAGCAACACAAGAGATCCCAGACCCCAGATAAACCAGCAATACACAATGTTTGTGATATGTACAGCCACAGCGTGGCTGGAACAGTTTGTACAGTCAATCCAAAAGTAACTGTTACTGATCAACTAGAATGACTTCAGGAGTTCTGCAGGAATACAAGCATGTATGTACAAGCACTGTGAAGTTATTTGACAGAATCAGAGTAAAAAAGTTAACACGGATTTACAATTTTATGACAAAGATCAATTCATATACTTCAAATATGTAAGAAGAACAAGTTTACAAAAAGGGGAGATGTTTCATACTTACAGAATACGTTGATATTCCCAGTTTCACAGCTGTGATTCTTAGAACATGTAACTGGAAATAAACGCCAGAGAAACCACCTGCTATAACCTCCCATCAGCCTGCTCCAACACTGACCACCCCTGCAGCTGTTATGTGGTGGACAATTCATGCATCTGCCAAAAGCAATGCTGCTTTGAGTGATGGGTGTACATCCACACACATCCACATCCTAACTGAGGTGTGGGGCACAGAATACGGGTGTGGAGCCATTTCCTCTGCTTCCCGAGCTCGTAGCAAAGCATGATCTGAACTGGACCAAGCAATGGGCCCATGGGAGCCCATCAGTCTGTCTGTCCTTAGGAGACACTGGCAGCTGGAGTGGTCCGTGCTCCCCGAAAAGGCCTCCCTCCATTGCTCTGCGCCAGGAAGAGGCAGGATTCAGAGCACCCGCCTTCTGGGAACGCCACCCGACAGGCCTGCACTGCAGCTGGGGAGGAGAGAGGGGGCCCAAAACAGAGTCCAGTGTATGGCTGGCTACCCTGGATCACCACGAGACCAGTCAGGCAAGAATCCCATCACCAAGGACAAATAAGGCATTCAAGGTACGATCAGTGTAAAAGTGTGTCAGCCTCAGAGCGGGTACTCTCTGTCATTTGTCATGGGTGGACAAACGCAAAGCAAGAGGCAGAAAAACCCCAAGCATTTACACAGATTATCTTTCCACCACCGCTGTTTCAGGTCAGGTCCCCAGAGGTTGGTGATGGAAACCCTCGCAGACACCAACGGCCCCCATGCTCTGTGATTCAGAGGCAAATCTGGGCCAAGCATCACAGAGCGAAATTCCACCACAGATTATTCATGCAAAACTGGTGTTGGTCTGCCACTTACAATCACTAGAGTACGGACTAAATTAATCTTCGGTGTAATTTACCTCTTAATACAAAGAAAGTTGCTTTGTATGCATATTCTCCCAGGACATGACCTGATCTTATGGTCCCTATGCAGTGATGTCAGACAGCCTGAATAAAACTTCTCTGAGCGTCACCCACGTGAGGCCTCTCGTCATCAGTTTGCAAGACGCATAACGAAGAACAAAACCATCAGGGACCTGGCGCAGTACTACTGGCCGTTCAGTCTTTTGGATCTGACTTACCGTCACAGCAACTTCTCCACAACCTAACTGAGTTTATGTTTCAGAACTTAACATACAGACAGTAGTTCTTGGTGTGTTTTGCAGTGACTGTCCCTGCTCAAACTCAGTGGTTTGCTATTTAAATTAGTCTGGAGTGAATAATCACATTATTCTGCAATCTCGTTCCTCAGCAATTCACTCCTCTCCAGAGAAAGCCGCTGCAGATCCTTCCTAATATCAGGATGATCTTCCAGCTCTTCATACAATGATCGCACAATGTCCAGCTTCCTGTAGTCCACCGGTTTGACCAGGCTGCGAACCACCTGGAGACATCTCTCCTTCAGGGTGAACACTGAGGTTAAAAACAAACACAGACACGACCTCGTCACAGGGCTCCGCAGACAGCACTTCTCCAAGCACACGAGCACAGAACATAACAGAGCAGCGCTATTCACAAGACGCCACGCTCACTAGAGAGGAAAAGCACTTCTTGTGCCCTGTTATGAGGCACCCTGTGAAACCCATCAGAAACATCTCTTAAGTGTCAGTCGCTCTGTTCAACAAAACACAGCTCTGTCTGCAGACCCTCACAATCTCCTCCTGTTATTATGTTATTATCTGAGTACTCAACCTTCCCCTAGAGCCCTACACTGAGTCCAACGCAATTAAGTATCGGACTCATCAGCTCCCCCGACACACGCAGCCTGGCCGCATTTACCTGGCAGTGTGATGTCTGCAGTGCTGACGTTGGGAGCTGCTACGAATAGCTCCTGCTGGTTGACCAGGAGGCCATCGTTTGTCCCCGCGTCCCGGAACAGCCAGAGGTGCCCTGGGAGGGAACAAGGTGCAAATGCAGCCATTGTTGCACTTTTTAACGAGCGGTTTTGAGGGGAACCCGTAAGGAACCCAGCTGCAGAGCAGAGCCCCGGTCAGAGGCCTTCGTCACCTGCGCCACCGGGGGTCGTTACCAGAAAGCGTTGGCCTGGCTCTGGAGCCGAACTCAGTCGGTCACGGAAAGCGATCGCAGCCAGGCCCCGATCCCGAAGGTCGGCCTTTCACCGCCCCCTCCCTGGTTCCCGCTGCCCGGCCCGGCCTCACC